ATAGTGCTCCTCAAGAATAGGAGGAACACATTTGTCCTCAAGAATAATCAAAGCCTTGTTGAAAATATCCAAATGTAATTTCTCATGTTGGATTTTCCCCCTTACCAGAGGGAGCCCCCTTGTGGAGTACTGTGAAGCCATTACCGTGGCAACTCCACTGCGCTGTACAGTAGAAGCCATTTACAGCAGTACCGTAGAAGTCATTTGAAGGCACAACAGGCTGTATTTTAACAGGACACACACACCGAGGGGTATTAGAGTTGTCTTACCCAGACAGTATTTTTTTCCAGAGAGTAAGTAATCTGTGTACCAAGTTTGGTTGAAATTGCTCGAAGCATTCCAGAGTTATGCTGGAACACACACACACACACACACACACACACACACACACACACACACACACTTTTATATATAGAGATAACCAAGGGATTGGACCAAAGGTGCTGGACTTTCTGATTTTTCTTGACATTTCACTTTCATCCAAGACACTGAAAAAGCTTCTTGAATGAGAAGCGAAATGTCAAGAAAAATTAGAAAGTCCAGTTGCTTCCTGAAAAAGCACCTTTGGGACAACCATGACTTGGATGACTGAGAATCTCCATAGACAAGGGACTGGACCTTTCCTAGCAATCTATGTTCAAATCCCAAGATGACTAAAGAAATTAAACATTTCCTCCACAAAAGGGTGAAACCAATTCTTCATGTATGAAGATTCTCATGATGGAGATGCTTTTAGTTTTCAAGTTAAACTCTGATATGATGTTCTCTGAAGGTCATATTTATAAGAATATTAGAGGAATCAAATGTGGTTTAAGGTAGCCATTTCATCAGTGTAACATTCTATATGGTTTGATATTGTACGCTTACTACTTACTATTAGTTCTGGTGAGTCAGTTGCCCTTCAAAAAGATCACTTAAATTTCTTTGATATAAATGAAATGCTATGCAGAGATAAAAATGAATTTAGGAAGGCTGCATAGAATGATATAGTAGGATACTCTTGAAACATAATTGTTAATGTTAAATTGAAAATAAATTTAATATTTAGTCAGCATTTTATTTCACAATACAAATAGGTTACAGTTATATTAATGAATAAAAATCTATAAAGATGCATGGATCTATTTCCAAGTAAACATCTAGATATAATCCAGAAGATTATTTCAGACCAGACTGAATAATAAGCACTGCAAAATAATTGTTTGATTTCAGATGCTGAATATTACATGTTTTCTCTTGGGAAATATTTTTAACTCAAAGATTGAATGCACATATAAAAATTAGTTTAAAACAGCCATGGTTTGTTTATGTGACTATATAAAATATACAATGAACATTCCAATTGTAATTGTGAATCAGTTACAGCTTCACTGGCTGCATGATTCAGTCAAATTGAAGTGCTGAAGCATCACTAAAATAAAGTTGAAATATTTTTGGCTGAATTTTACATAAATATATACATACTGTACATACATACATACATACATACATACATACATACATACATACATACATACATACA